TACAGCACCTGCAGGGGATGAAGCAAAATGGTACAGTTAGACCTCATCCTAAAACGTATCTAATTTGAGATCCAATATCGCTGCGCTTCATACGGCATATTTAGAAGATTTTGAGGTCTTCCGGAATCCATAATAATAAAGTTAAATAATGTATGTGTACCTAAGTAAAGTGAATAACATTTACCGGCTTTAATCTAAATTAAATGCCCAGACGTCTGGAAGCACAAAATCTGTAGAAGCAGCAGAAGCACTATGTTCACCATGCTCGAAAAATCATCATTTTCATGACTTTTTTGCATTTTTCTTCGTAAGATCATGAAAATATCAAATTACGCAGATAACAAAAGCTACTTCTCTGTTCTTATTCCCGTTCTGTACTTCCTCTTCCTCTCTCTTTGTTTTCGTCAGGTTAGTGCTGCTGTACGGCTTAGAGACAGTTGCTTCAACGAAAGAGCAAGGACGACGATTAAACTGCGCACAACAGCGTTGACTTCGATTCATGAGGAAGAACAAACAACAGGACTACATATGGAATGAATATTCTCTTACGGGCATAGATGACGTCCGTAGATGTGGATTTTTAGAAAGAGGCTGGCGTTGTTAGATAAACTGGTTTAGCATAAAACAGTTCCGTTAAGGTTCACGTGTGAAAGCCAAAATATGGCAGACTTTGACCAGGAGGCCATATCCAGCAATAAACAAGAAGCAGCTTCACTTTTGGAAAGGAATATCCCCCTGTACCATGCACTAACCGGTACCTTGAGCAAAAGTACTGTAAAGCTAAGAATACGATTGATATAATAAACCAAAGACGTTCTGCCAATGCAAATGACTTAAAGTGATTATTTCAACAATCAAGCATACAGCGAGCTTGCTGTAGAGGCGATTGTGTCAAATTATTTGTACAAAAACTCTTGCAAACTTCGTAGTTTTTTACTATGTCTGTTCGAGGTCGTGAAGCCCTTCTCATAAACATCAGTATGCATACGACGCATGCCTTCTTGTTTTATCTTCGTTTTCTTGCAGCCTCTGAGGAAGTTGATGCCGAATTAACTTCGAAATTATCAGTCATTTTTCTCTAGCAGCAAGAGAAATGAAAATGTGTAACAGAAGTTCAGGAACCAGTTGGTCATTAGTTCTCACATAGATGAGGCCGGAGCAAATGTTACAGCTGATCATACTGTCTAGTACCCGTCAAACAATCCTTAATGAAGGGTTCTAGCTGTAGTGCTCATGTGCGACATAGCAAATTTATCTCGCAGTAATTTTCTGCGCCGCAGTACCTGACTGTTTATAGGTCGGTAACAAACAATAAAGATGCTCGGCAGATCAACAGCATATAAGGAGCATCACTTGCTGAAACATCGTTCGTGATGTGCAAGAGGCTGATATGGAAAAATGATTGAAGGTTCATCTGTCGCCAGAGGTGACCAAATACATCAAATGGGACAACGGTCCACTTTATAAGTTCCATAGGCAAGTAACCAACCAGATGCCAACCATTACTCTTGAAATGTGCTTTCCAGCGTCAGTATTTCTGCTGTATGGCATCTCCTTCCACTACGTTCATGAGGAAGCGATAAGCACTTTATACTGTTAATATAAAGCTAATTATACCCATACATTACGTTATGCACTTAACAACATTCGACGTATGAATTTACATTTTGTTGTTTGCGTTGCAGCATTCAGCCCGTGCCAGTAGCTGAAACCTCGCTGGTATCGAGTCTGAGGTTCCTCTGACGGGCAACAAATGAAGTAAGATACATTTAGCACTTCAGGTGGCCAAAGATAACCGAGCCTTGGTAACCTTAAATAGCCCCCCTCGGCAACTGTGAGCAAGAGATGGTGCAGCACGTCGGTTTTTAAGGACTTGAATACTTGTTATAATGCATACAATATGCCAACAGCTGATAACTGTGCGCAGGTACAACAACAGCTGATCTGACAAAATATTGTTACGCAATATTCCAGTTACTGCTGATAAGTACTAGACAATTGAAAATGACTTACTGTGAAAATTAAACAGCAGTGGAAAACGCTGTGGCAATCCTGACTGCGACTGACAAAATCACTACCGTCCTGTTTACATTGTCCTATGCAGTGTATTTCGTTGAATAACATCTGTACATGTCCTTCATGTGTTTTTGTATGGGATGGCCACTGCTCGTGCTCGTTAGGACAATTAAATAAAAGTAAATAAATGAATAGTGAAGTCAAAGAAGATTTATTCCGGCTAAAACGCTTTTGTGTAACAACTAAGCCATCTGAATTATTTCGTTTATCTCCTGCAGAAACAAAAGATAAGCAAGTACCTCAACACAAACAATGTTCGCATCACCAGAGACGAAAGTCTACACTTGTGAACATGCATAAAACGTATTCCTCAAAGTACGACGGTGCAGGTGTTACAAACGTCTAACCTAATTGCAAATCCCCAAAGGAGTGACGGAACTGTTTTTATAAACCTGCCTACTTCCTCAAATTATATATGCATCACCAATATGTTTCTCCCTACGTAGGACAGATTTGCACAGATTTCGATCTGTCTAAAAATTGTCTGCAGATCAGACCGGCTGTCCTCTACTAATATCGTAAGCGTCGTGTTAGGTCAGATTATAAGATGGGT